CGAACTCCGTACTTATTATTACTATTATTATTTTTTAATTTGGTACTTGTTATCTACTAGAAATGTGACACGTCACCAAATTGAGTTCGCTACACCGGATAGTGAACTTGCCCCCATGGCAGATTAAAAAATAATACTATTCACATGACATTTACATAAAAAACTTGATGAATAATGACATTTTAGTCGGTATTCCTCCGTGGAGTGGCATACCGTACCTAAATTATGACTAAAGAACATTGAACATCTGAAACTCCATTAATTGCTTTGTCCCTTGTTAGCAACAGAATTGCTCTTTAATTTCTGTGGTGACCTGTGCTTTTAGTTCATCATTTACTAATATAAACAACGGGATTGATGATTAAAATATTTCTCTTTACCCAATTTCTGATGATGATGTAGCAAATTAGCACTCCAAGATAAAAATTTCTCGACCTTAATCAAGATTAATCGAACCATAAAGGCCAACGTGTATATAAATTATTAATTAAATTATAAATTATTAATATAATATTATAAATTTTATACAAAAAAAAATATAAATTATAAATAAGAGGTAGAATATTCTTCCTTACTACCATTTTTTTCTACTATCACTCCACTACTATTTTAATCACTATTGGATTCAAAAGTTATTTTTTTTCTCTCTTCATTCAACTTTTTCTCTAATTCAATGGTGCTTAGAGTGATAGTAAAGTGGTAGTAAAAAATATGTGTAGTAAGACTATCCTAACTCTATAAATAAAGCCTATAAATACAAGACAACATGTCTAGCTCCAAAACTGATATTGTAGCAAATAGTAATATGCACCTAAATCTCATCAATAAAAAGTCGGTTTGATAATATATTAATTCAAGTAAGTGCAATACACATGGAAGATCATATAATTGAAAGAATATACAATTTATTAAGCTAATTAATAATTTAAAAGTAGCATCATGATGGGTAAGTGAAATGTCCTGTTTTATTAATGAAAAATATTATTCTTCTTTCACGTAAGATAATTTTTCTCATGTCTTTTCACTTCAATTTTTACATCCTATCTTTTACTTCTTTTTTTTTGTAATGGTGAGACCCATTCATTTTCTCTCTACAACATAAGAGAAGTAGATAACTATCTTATGTAGAAGAAGAGTAATAAAATCTTTTATTAATATAATAAAGGAGCGCAATAAAAGAATGGATTGGAAAATGACAAGGTTCCAACATCAAGTGGTATAGCATAGGGTGCACATTCACGTTCTCCTTATAATAGGGGAGCCCATGTGATTCCCGTACGACCTATTCATTTTGCCATTTTGTTTGGCACTAACACAGTTTTATTAGATGAGTAATTATATATATATATATATATATATATGGAAAAAGTGTTTGTCATTTTAAATGATAGAAAGTTATGTCATTTTAAGAGAGATACAGACACAGAAAATTTGAATTTTAAATTAAAAAAATCACTCACTTTCTCTCTCCCATGATTTCTGTTTTTCTGTGTCTATCTCTCTCTTAAAATGACATAACTTATGTCATTTAAAATGACAAACACCAAACTCATATATATATATATTCACACGTGTGACTCTCCATTCATTTGCTTTCAGTTCTGCAAATCAAGCCGCCTCTCGCTTAGGAAAAATACCTATATATTCTCAATGTATTGCTCTTAGTAGTTTGAAAATTATTTGAATAAATTTAATAATATTTTATTTTAAATTAAAAGATATATTCAGTTATATAATGTCGCATATTATATTTTTAATGGACTAAAGTAATATTAAATAAAAACCTCTTCACGCTTCCGCCCATTCATCTCTCTCCAGTACTCCACACCCCAGACTCATAATTCATTTTTCTATATTGTTTGTTATATATATAATTTTGTGTTTCTAAAGAAAAAAATGACGTAATGAAGTAAATGCAATACCAAAAAAATGCCAAGACCATTTACATTTTCTTTTACATGTGTTTTAGTTAGAAGTTATTTAAAGAAAATTTTATATTTTGATTCATAATAAGATATATACTTTGAAAAACCACGGTGTATACGTGACCAAGCTACACATTTAATGGTCAATTTATTTATTTTGTTTTAAGTTTTAGCCTGCTAGACTGGAGAGAGAAAAAAAGGTGCTGGTGGTATGTGAAAACATTTCGTTCGAATGCCGTATTGCGCATAACTTCTTGTGATAAATGATCCTGACGCTGATGCTGATTACTGATATCGTGGTTTTGGTCATAGGTCGCTCCACGCACAATAGCAATAGGAAAAGAAGTTATACGAGAAATCTCACAAAATGATACCTTCAACAATTTTGTTATACGCATATTTATTATTCATTTATAATTTATCGGTATTAATTTTTTAGTTAAATACATAAACTTAAAGATGCCATAAAGTTAAAATCCAACAAGGGATACGCGATGGAGTTGCCCCAACATGTCCGATCTTTTAATATATATATTCCAAGTAAGAATATGTTCGATTATTGCTTTAAGACTGTATGTCTAGAAATACCAGAGAGAATAAGATAAAATATAAAGGAATGGATAAAAAAATCAGAATGAGAAAAAAAAATTAATGATTAACGTGGAAAGACAGAAGAACGTAACGAGATGTAACTAAATTTAAGTTTAATATTTTGTAAAATATTTAAAAGTAACTTATACGGTAAGAATAGTAAACTGCAATTTTCTTTTGTTAAGATCAATGCATTTTTTCTTGTTATCCTTTATTTCAGTGAGAAATGAAAAGTCAAAAGTTTATTTTACAATTATCATTTAAAAATTTAATCTTCCAATGAGCAGGAAATCTTTTCCCGACATTTCTTCCTTTGTCACCCAAACCTACGATCATATTACTAAAAGCATATTCCTTCTTCCTCTATGATAAAATAACTTAGAGAAGACCAGAAAAATTATTGGTAAAAAACAAATTCTACACTAAATTTTGTTTGGATGTATGCTATTAAAAATCTACACAAAAAATCACAAATCATCCAAAAAGTTAAAAATCTATTTTTATGAATGTTAAAAAATTTAACTTCTAAAAAAAAAGCATAAATTAATAATCAAATATTATTTTTTTAAAATAAATATATTTTAAAAAATCTAAATAGCTTTAACTTTAATAAAAAATATTTCTAAAATAAGTAAAGTATAAAAGTAACTTTTTTTTATATGTCCATTCAAACGGGGCGAGAAAAAAATTTAACTTAATTATAATGAAGAAATGAATAACTATTCATTAAATTTTTAATTTAATTCAAAAATTAAACTGAATAAAAATTTCAATCATTGTTAATATATATATATATTGTTTTATAAGTATCATGTTACATGACATAATATGTGTCATGCTATATATACAGACAATCAATGGGTTCCACTAAAAAAAATGAAAGGGACCTCACACCTTTTTAAGTCTATAACATGATATATCTTGTGTCTTGTAACATGACACCCATAATATATATATATATGGGTAAACATTTTTACAGTCACTTTAGATAAGGTTATTTCCAGCTAACTCAAAAATTATTTCGCTTTAATTAAAGAAGGGTGTTTCTATAATTTTAGATTAATTAATGAAGGGTGTTTCCGTAATATTGTTTATTTTTTTATAATATACATTTTATTGAAACACCCTTCATTAATTCACCTAAAATTACAGAAACACCCTCCATTAATCAAAACGACTTAGTTCTTGGGTAGCTGTTGATAAGTGATAACCTTATCTAAAGTTGCTGTAAAAATATTTGTTTCATATATATATATATATATATATATATATATATATATAGATAGAGAGAGAGAGAGAGGTATGATCATTTGACACCAGTGTCAAATTTAAAATTTGACACCTCATCTGAGAGTCATTAGATCAAAAAAGATCAATAGTGTCACATGCTTACAAATCAGAACCATTGATCTTTTTTGATCTAATGGCTCTCAGATGAGGTGTCAAGTTTCAAATTTGACACTGGTGTCAAAGGATCCTACCTCTATATATATATATATATGGAAAAATATCTCTTCAGCCACTTTAGATAAGGTTATATACAATTACCCAAAAACTACGTCGTTTTGATTAATGAAGGGTGTTTCTGTAATTTTAGGTGAATTAATGAAGGGTGTTTCAGTAAAATGTATATGATATCTACACCAGTGTCAAATATACATATATATATATATATATATATATATATATATATATGTGTGTGTGTGTGATAGGATCTTTTGACACCAGTGTCAAATTTATCGGTCTATTTATCGGTATATATATATGGAAAATACTTTTCTTATGTTGTAGGAAAATAGTTACCTCATGTTGTAGAAATAAAATTACAAGTGAGACCCACAGGTAAGAGGAGAGAGAAAAAGAGTAGTGGGACCCAACCTTTTTGTGTGTAGGAAAGTTGTTTATCTCATGTAAAATAAAATAAACATATATATATATATATGGAAAAATATTTCTCCGACAATTTGAGATAAATTTATCTTCTACCGTTACAAAACTACGTCGTTTTGTTTATTTATTTCCTTATATTAATTGATTCACCTTTGAATGGTTATGATTTTCTTTTTCTCTCTTTTTCTTTATCACCATTGATTTATTTTTATACGGTTATAATTTAGTAGCTAGAAATAAAATCATCTCAAACAATTTCAGAAACGATAACCCTATATATATATATATATATAGAGAGAGAGAGAGAGAGAGAGAGAGAGAGAGAGAGAGAGAGAGAGAGAGAGAGAGAGAGAGAAAGGGACTAGATCCGTTTACAAATTTTTTTTACAATTACACTAATGTAGAACCGATCGTATACTGTGTGATTAATGTAGGACCGGTCTTACATAATGTAATTTGTAAGAGTTTGTAAACAAAAAAGTTTGTAAATATAACCGATCACATATAAAAAAATCTAAACAAGAATTATTGCTTTTTAAATAAGTACCACAACCGTATACAGGTGAAGTAATGATGATTTGAGTGTACGTATCAAATAAGAAATACTCATGGAAATAATGGATCCCTATCAGAGCGAGTGTATTAAAGTACACAAGCAAACAGTGTAGTGCACGGAAAACAGGGGAAAGAAACAAAAGGAAATCCATCAAAATGCTATAAAAGACAAATGGCAACAACGAAAACAACCTATCTGTCTTTCACACTCTGAAAATCCTTCCGTTCCATTCCAGACAAAAAATGGATTCAGCAATTCCACCGTCGACGGCGGCGGAGCTGGACCTGAACAACCTGAAAGCACTGAAAGTTGTGGGCAAAGGTGCCATGGGCACCGTGTTCTTAGTTCAAGACCAAGACGACTCCTCTGGACGCAGCCCGTGGGCAGTTAAGGTGGTAGAGAAATCATCCACGGAAGCTGACCGTCGTGCCCGTTGGGAAATCCACGTCCTATCCCGTTTGTCGCATCCCTTTCTTCCTTCCCTTATCGGCACCTTTGAATCCGATCAATTGTTGGGCTGGGCCCTACCTTACTGTCCCGGCGGCGATCTCAACGTCCTCCGTTACCGCCAAACAGATCGTGTCTTCTCCCCCGCCGTCATCCGTTTCTACCTGGCAGAGATCGTCTGCGCTCTAGACCACCTTCATAGCATGGGCATCGCCTATCGCGACTTAAAGCCCGAAAATGTCCTCATTCAACAATCCGGCCACGTCACCCTCACTGACTTCGATCTCTCCCGCAACCTCACACACAAAACCGTCAAAACCGTCATTTTTCTAGAAGATTCCAAATCTCCGGAAATTACTCGCCGGAACTTCCCTAACTGGATCGACACTAACATAATGGGCTTGAAGAAGGCCAAGTCCTCCCGAGTCAGCCCCGTGAGTCGACGAAAGCTGAGTTTCTCCAACGGCGAACGGTCCAACTCGTTCGTCGGCACGGAGGAGTACGTCGCGCCTGAGGTTGTCCGCGGCGACGGACATGAGTTCGCCGTTGACTGGTGGGCCCTGGGGATACTTACGTATGAGATGTTGTACGGTGCGACGCCGTTCAAGGGTAAGAACCGCAAGGAAACGTTTCGAAACGTGCTGTTGAAGGAGCCGGAATTCGTTGGGAAGAAAACGGAGTTAACGGACCTGATTTCGCGGTTGCTCGAAAAGGACCCAACAAAGCGTTTGGGTTACGTTCGAGGCGTCAGCGAGATCAAGGAGCACCAGTTCTTCAGAGGGGTCAAGTGGGACCTACTCACCCTGGTCGTACGACCACCCTTCATTCCGTCAAGAGACGACGCTGACTTGGCGGCGGAGCAATTCACCTCCGGAGTGGACATAAGGGACTACTTCCGGAACTTGAAATCGCCGCCGTCGTTGCCGCCTTCTCCGTTGCCGTCACCGTCTTCTGAGTTTCAGAGGAATGTTTCTTTAGCTGAATTCTGACGCACGTGTGGGGGCTTGGACGAGGAACAGTTAGTTATTCTTTCTAGTTACTCGGAATTTCTGTGTATATAGAATAACGGTAGAACGTCAATAAACGGCGTTAGCAAGATTACTTGGTATAATATGGTTATATATAAATAAATATAAACTACAAATAGAATTGTACAATATGATGGTTTATACGTGAAAACTTTTTGATGTGTTTCACATGTATATCCACTCCGGTCTGCATATTGATTCTTTTTTTTTTTTTGAAGTTCTTGTCTTAACAATGCTCATGTTTTCAGGTAAAATATGAAACTAAATTATCTTCCTTCCACACGAGGGCATATATAAATTGCTCATTGTTGTTGGATCCAACGGTTAATCAGTAAATTTTACTTTATTTTATTTTTGTGAGAAGATTGCATGGTAAGATTTTCAAACTCGAACAACACGGTTCATTAATAATAGTAATAAAGGATGAAAAAGAAAAACTAGAAAAATTGTAGGATTGGAGGGGGGGGAGGGGGGGGGGGGGGGGGGAATAGACATATTTGTAATGTCCTAATAAGAAAGCTCTGATTAAATGTCCTAATAAACTATAAACTTTTTTTATTTTTATTTTTTCAAATGTACGTATATAACGAAAATTCGGGTTGTTGGCTTTTCTACCGTAGGATCAATGAATCAATATCGTTCAGACTTTACATGATTATAATTGTTTGGACGGAAATAAAGTGGTCATAAAAACTAAAAGAGTTTCAAATGCGATCTTCAAGGTGCATTGAGTGCGAACTATTTGAAATTATAGGTGTTTACAAATTTTCCAAAAAGTTCATGTCACCGTCATCCAATTTTAGTATTTGTAATTGTTTTCAGTTTAATCTTCACGATGCATTGAGAGTTATTATTTGATGCTCCGTTTGCTTATTGATACATGTTACAATTGGTAAATTAAAGCATTAAAGGCATCTCTCTTTTGAGAAGAAAGTATTAGTAGGACCAGTAATTCTAATTCTAATTGGCACCATCTTATTCAAATAAAGATGATCATAATAATAAAACTGTTTGTCCCGTGAAGTGAGGTGATTTGTTATCATAGTAAAGTCTCTATACATAATAATGAGCTACTGAAGTTATAATTCCTTAACACGTGCTCAAGTTTGTTCTCTTCATGATCGGAAGCTTATGGAGCAATCTTCTCGTTTCATTGTTTTACTGTCTAGAGCTATGTGAAGTAAATGGGTAAACGGTATTCTGTTACATACAGTTTTCATATTTTGAGTAAGAATATTAAAAGGAAAGGTGCTGTTATGATTACAGGACAAATTATTCCAAAATTACGGCAATAATTAAGATATACAATCACCCCCCCCCCCCAACAACACAAAAAAAAAAACCTTTGTATGCTCTTTTAATTATTGCTTAATTAACATGAGCAATCCTTCAAGGGTGTCATCATAGTGTTAAATCGGAACAGCTGCAATAGTTATGTACTTTTTTTTTTTTTTTTTTTTGTAAATCAATAGTTATGTACTTCCCTTCAGAATCTGACAGTAAATCAAGCCTTAAGCAAATAGTAAAAATAATTAATTGCAAAATTTACTTATAGCTTGAAATTTGTACCCCTAGTCTTACTCTTGGAATTTACACCTTATGGGGTTAAAAATGAAGGTAAAAAAAATGATTGTATCAATAAGCTTCATTTGTAGATTTATTCATAAATCTCCACTCATATATTAACTTCACCTAATTAACCCTATTACAAACTAATGAAAAGTACCTTTACCACAATGGTCTCAACAAGACAGCAACTTTGTAACTAATTCGGAGAGGCAGTTGAATAAATTTAGTATACTTGATTACATCTAAATTATATTATATATATGATTTAGTATTTCTCGAATTACATAAGATAAAATATTTCATATAATCTTAAAATGATGTCATTTTAGTGTTTGGAAAAAAAGATACAAGAAAATTTAGGAAAATTTATATTGCAAGAGAAAAGCAAAATTTTCAAAATGCCTTAATGTCTGTTTGGATCCTCTCTTTTTTAAGCTAGAAGCTACTTATAAGCATAAGATAGGTCAAACAGATTTTGGGAAAAGCTCTTATAATGAAAATCTCTCTTTTTTTATAATGAAAAAAAGCTGAAAGTTAAAAGTTCATAGGAGGAGTTTTTTTAAGCTCTTATCTGTTTTTCTTAAATTGTGTGTTTTTTTTAAATAAAGAGTTATAAAAATAAAAAGAGAGATAATTTTCTTGAAATATGTGCTTTTAAATAACTTTTAAGCTAAACTTTTTATGTAATTACTAAATAGCTTTTAGTTTTTTTTTAAACTATTTTTTTTAAATTTTTTTTTTTTAACTTTAGCTTATAAGTAGTTTATATCTTAAAAAAGAGAAGATCCAAACACGCTCTTAATTTTGTTTTTCAAACTCCAAAACGACTTTGTTTTAGAATTGTAAACGATAATTTTATTTCTTCTTATTAGAGAAACACTTATCATATATATAAATGAGCAGGAAAAAAAAAAGATTCATGTGACATTAAGTATAAAGGGACAGCTGAAATAAATAAAGCTAAATGAATTATTTTTTTCAATTTTTATAACTGATATATACTGAGTATTCGATATTATTGTAAGAGGACATGCGAATTACGTTCATGAGCAATTCAAATGGGTTGAAGCTATTTATAATTTTATATACCTCGTGATTTTATTAAAAAAAATAGAATTCTTTAGTTTTATTGTTTATTTTTCTTTACGACATAACTATATTTAATATTTAAATTTATATGTTTTATTTAAATGTAAGTCAATCTAGTCATAGTTAACCATTATTGAGTTGAGTCTACGTTGATAAAGGTCAAAATATTAAGTTGGATCGGTCCAGCCTACTTTTCAACTATGAAGCACGATTATGTTAATTTTTGTGAAAATATGTGTCGAATACCGACATATTCAATATGTTCCGACATGCGTCAATATTTTGGAATATGTTGATTATCCTGACATGTGATTTTGATTGTGTCTGACACTATCAAATGATATTTTTATAAAAAAAATTATATTAATAAAATTATAATTTAAAAAAATATTTAATAAAAACTTAAAAGATAAACTTAACCTAAAAGATAAGTATTCTCGTTTTTCCATCTGCTAGACTTAGTGCTGCTACTTGCTTCACTTCGCATTGACCGTCTGCTCCAGTTCATGTTCTTCTTGCTGGTGTCTTTTCCTTCTTCGCGGTGTTGTCTCTTCCTTATTCGCATTCTTCTCTGCTTTATTGTCTGGTGTTATGGACCCTGAGGCTCATTTATTGCTAAGCTCAACAAAGGACAATCTAAATATAAATAAGATATAATTAAGGAAGGATATTCATCAACGTTATCAATCCTAATACGACAGTATAATAAATGGGCTTGGGCTGCTAGGAAAGGCACAGAAGGTCCAAAATCCAATACCCACAGGTAAACTCTGTAAATAAGAGGTAAAGCCTATAGGTATGAGTGTTCGTCAACCGATCCAAACTGATTCAAACCGCGGTGTGTAACATCCCCGTCTCGAGCCGGTTCAATTAACATACATATGATACAAACAGAAAAGCGAAAGACTTAACTTACGAAAATGCGAGCTAACTTTTTCTTTTTCTTTAATCCTTTTTCACATGATATCTCACATTGCATACTTCTCCTTATTTATTTCTTATTTGACGAAGACGAAAATCGGGCAGAGTAACCTCTGTAAATTGGACAATTGGGGATTTTCCAATCCCACTCTCTAGGGTTCTTGATAAACAATTTATACCATATATGATTTCAGAAATACCAGATATCTATATAGGACAATATACCCATCCATGGGCGCATGCATAACTTGGTTCTGTGCCACTATGTCTAACAACATGCAATTCCAACAGGTAAACATATAACTGAATACTGCATCATAACATAAACATGCCTAAATACACAAGTGTACATGCATCAAAACGGAAACATGTACAAAACATATACAGGCCATATACAAGTATCGGATCAGACATCATGATCCACCAAAAGAATGGAATACAAAATAACCAGAATGTACTCCAAAATAACAGTAGCCTACAGCTACTCTAAAAATCTGGTCCATCGTAGCACCTCTAACCACGGGTCGTGTCCCTGCCTAGTGAGGGCTCACTAGGAATCTGAGAACCTGAAATGATGTCCCCGAAAAGGGATGAGATAACAAATCTCAATAAGCTCCAAGTTTATAGAGAATTCTCAATACCCCTAGCTCACTCCTGCATGAGAGTCAGATACAGAGTATACAAAGCAACATATAACAGATATCGTCACTAAACAAAACATATATACATATCTTATCAGAGGCGCACGCAATCATTCCCAAGGGAGGACCCCAAGCGGAACCAGACATATCAGAGGCGTACACCATCAGTCCCGAGGGAGGACCCCAAGCGGACATCAATGTACAATACAATCAATGGCCAAAGATCAATACAGAAATCACAGAACAAATTATATCATGTTATCAAATAGCTCTATATAAATGCATCTATACAAAGCATAAAAAATAATCATACAATCCAACCATAGTTTACTAACCATGGTGGAGCACTTAAGTAGGAAAAGACTCCTTAAACATAGAGCTTACCTCTTGATGCTTTACCAATCTGCTCACTTGTAACACAAGTTACCTATTTAGCTCCAAAGGCAATTTAAACCCTCTCAGTCCCTAGGCACACCTAGAGAAAGAATTCAAAACAAAATCAATAAAATGCTACAATGCCATGAAATTTACACAAGGCATTCATCTTATTGCTTACTTTCATTTTTTTACACTTATGCCAAATCTATGCCAATATACAATTCCAGACCACAATCTTTAAGCTCTCTTATTAGACCAGTTAAGGATGATTACTCACACAACAAGCAACCACCTGGTTTCATATTTACATAGGGTCTTAGAATGACCCAACCAAGCTCCTACAATACCTTTTACAATTTTTAACAATTCCTAGCCCCAAAATCATACAATGGCCGAAGCCAATAACAAAGGAAATTAGAGTTTTTCATCAATTCTTTTTACACAACCTTTGGTTCCTAGAACCCATACTAGACCCCTAGTTACTCGTATATTCATATAACAATTTAAGCCTAAACTTTGCCTA